GGAACTGCAGGGCACTGCTCAAGGGGCACCATTTCTGTGATGTCCAGGAACTCCTCCCAAGCCCACAGCACACATCCAACAGGTGAAGCACAGCTCAGATCCACAGCAGCCTCCAGCTGGAGGCTCCTTCTGAAGCTCAGGACATCTCAGATGCAAAGACCTGCAGGTGCCACCTGCTCCAAGCTCCCCAGAAGATCTGAGACATCTACAGGACGTGACACCAGCGCTGCTGTATCCCCTCCAAGGAGGCATCAGTGACAGAGCAGTGTTGAGACACAGATAAGGTTTCACCAGTCCCAGAGGCATCACATCTGCCAGCACACACAGATTGCTCCACTGCAACTTCTCCTGCTCATTTTGAGAGCTGCAGGTTTGCTGCTTTTGCTCAGAACCTGCCTCACCTCTGACAGCAAACAAATCCAGAGATTTGAGCTAGAGCATCTGAATGTGTGAGCACAAAGCACAAGCCCATTCTCAGTCTGCCCTCCCAGCACATCTGTCCATCCACAGAGACACCCTGTCCTCCTGGAGCTGCTGGGACAGTAACCTGTCCAACCTTTGCTGCTAACACAGGCTCAGCCAATAAACTGCAAAAGGACTCATGGGAAACGAGGTACAGAACATGGGGAAGTTGAGAAAGACCATGCAAAACACAGAAGGTATTCAGGGCCCTCTAAAAGGATTATGAAAAATATTATATTTCAAAGACAGCAGGCAGACAACAGCTGCCTTAAGTTTCAGAGGGAAGTGGATTGAAAAAATGGATCCACTATAATTTTCAGAGACAAATCTCTGTAGTTTATCTGATCCACTATTTAAATTTCAATACACAGTTCTCTATCTGCAGTAATAATAACCTAAATTCCATTTAGTGTTCATTTGAGCAGTCAGGATAAAGTCATTTCTTATTATCTCCCCACTGTGTAAAAAACAGCTTGAAGGTAGGAAGTCAGCAAGCATTTTCACCAAAAAGTAATTATTGTAAGTGACATTTTTACTGCTGGCATGCCATAAGGCGAACTGCGCATTTGGAAGGACAAGTTGCTAAAACAAAATGACAGGGTACTCTGTGACATTCCAACGAGAACCCAAACATGATTTCACTGCTGCTTGCTTTGATGCACCACTTTTCCCACTGTCCAAAGCTCAGGTTT